ACGTCGACGCGAAGAAGATCGGGCTCAACATCGAGCCACATCGGCGACGCATCGGCGATGCGGCGCGATCCTCCGACCCCATCTGCTCCGACCCCATCTGGGAGGCGTAGACGGCTGCAGGCGGAGGACCGTCTGGAATCGTCCGGGTCCCCTCCGGCAGCCGCGCCCCGCCGCGGGGCGCGCGCCCTTTCGGGGGGCGCCCCCGCATCCCCCCCGGGCACTGCCGCCCGAGGCCGTCTTCGGGGGAGCACGAGGTCCGAGGCTCGAGGGGGAGGGCGAGGCTCGAGGGGGAGGACGAGGAGGAGGAGGAGGAGGAGGAGGAGGAGGAGGTTCGAGGTTCGGGGGAGGCTCGAGGTTCGGGGGAGGTTCGAGGCTCGAGGCTCGAGGCTCGGGGGTGGCCGAGGTTCGGCGGAGGCGGAGGACTGCCCCCGCCCAGTGGCAGACGACTGGCGCGGTGGCCGCGAGGGTCCCCGCGGCGCGATCCTCGGCGGGGCATCGGGCACGGCCCCGCGAGGCGGGCTCGGCAGCCGCAAGGGCCGCCGTCGTCGTCGTCGTCGTCGTCGTCGTCGTCGCCGCTGTTGTCGTCGTCGCCGCCGTCGTCGTCGCCGCCGTCGTCGTCGCCGTCGTCGTCGTCGCCGTGGAGGGAGGAGCGCGGCGGCCGCGGCGGGGGCCGCGTCAGGGGCTGGAGCGGGAGCAGGATGAGGAAAAAGAGAGGGAGAGGAAGAAGTACAGTAAGGGCCCGACCACAAGAAGCCTTCCACCAGAAACCTACCCCTGAGACCCCAGGGAAGCCATTGATTTTTGGTGTGGGCACGTCACGCCTTCCACAGCAAAACCATCGAGACCAAAGAAATCCAGGGCACCCTGGAGGCAAGCAGGGTGTTTCTTGGCATGGGCCTCCACTGCACATAGAGAAAGAGAAAGAGGAAGAGAAAGAGAGGCAGAGAGAGATAGAGAAAGAGTGAAAGCGAGAGGGAAAGAGATGGAGAGAGACAGAGAGAGAGAGAGAAGGATGAGGTTTTGGGAATGTGCTTGGCTCTTTCTGGGCCTCCAGGGGCAGCCTGAAGCCTCTTATAGAAACCTCCTGCGGCCTCCGGACGCCCTCGGCCACCCACGGGAGACCTCAGGACACCTCTGCAGACCCCCAGTGCTTCTCGAGAACGAGGAAAGGAGGGGAAGCACAAGGCGCAGGCGCGCGACCAGCCCAGATGATGATACCGATGCGGCTGGTGATGATGATGATGATGATGATGATGATGATGATGATGATGATGATGACGACGAACATGATGCTGGTGCTGATGTTGATGCTGATGCCGGTACTGATCATGATAACCATGTGAGTGGTGACAACGATGATGATTATGATGACGATGATGATGATGGTGATGATGATCATCATCATGATGATGATGCTGCTGATCATGATGATGATGAGGATGATGATGATGCTGGTGCTGGTGATGATGGTGATTTTGGTAATGATGATGATGGTGGTGGGGCTGATGGTGTTGATGATGTTTACGGTGATGGTGATGGTGATGGTGCTAATGCTACTGAGCACGGTGATGATGGGGATGATCGTGATGACGACGATGCTGATGATCATGATGGTGCTGGTGCTGATGATGATGCTGAGGCTGGTGCTGGCGCTGATGGTGATGATAGCAATGATGGCGATGACAATGACGACGAGGAGGATGAGGAGGATGGCGATGGTGATAGTGATGGTGATTGTGGTGGTCATGATGATGATGCTGCTGATGATGATGATGCTGCTGATGATGATGCTCATGATTATGATGATGCTGATGATGATGCTGATGATGATGCTGATGATGATGACGACGACGCGCCATAAAAAGCAGGTTTGCTGCCTGACTGTCCCTCTTTCAGCGCTGAATGGATGATCCCTTGAAATACGAATGCTAATCCCGATCTTCTCCACTACGTGTTGTGCCAGCCGGGAGCGCGATGAAGCCCAGAGGGCCCCCGACGACGACGCCGTTCAGGAAGATGAAGGAAGAGAGGAGCGCGCGGGCAGTGGACGACCGCCGCGGCCTGGGCGACGCTGAGTCTGTCCGTGTCAGAGCGCCCTGTCGTAGAGAAGTTGCCAAGTCTGGACGCCGAGCACCTCGAGGTAGCGCCTCCAGGACGCAAGCCATCGCTGACCACGGGCGCAGTCGCGACAGGGCGCCTCGGGGCTGCACCACCCGTCTGCAGGGCGAGACCAACGTCATGGTACCACTGGCGCAGGGCTCGTTCCAGGAATTCCAGGGCATCTAGCGGCCATCGCATCTGAAGCCCGTGTGGAACATCAAGAACTCTCGGAGAAATCCTGGAGATCTTGGACATGGTTCAACGCATTCTTACCATGACCTCTTACCCCTTTGAATCTGCACCGCGTACCCAGACGCTGCGGGCGACTAGTAACGGTGTAGAGCAGCGGCCGCGATTTCGGGAGGTTTCCACGGCCTGACCCCCCGCTCCAGCTGGAGTCGGGCGCAGAGCGTGATCTTGCTGCCAACAGTGGTCCTGCCGGACTTGCCGCTCAGCTCCGCGGTGGTATGGTGATGGGTTATGGCCTCCTGCTGCTCCTCCTCCAACTCGTCCTCGCCTTCCCCCTCCTCGTTGAACATGTTTTATTCCGCGTCCGGTGCCTCCCCTAACTTGTCTTCACACTCCCCCTCATCCTGCTTTCTCATAAGGTTCCTCCTCCTCCTCCTCCTCCACATCCTCCTCCTCATGCCGATGTTCCCACGCTCTTCCTCCTCGTCATTCCTATCTTCCGGTGCCCTTCTTCCTCCTCCTCCTTCGTCATCCTCCGTCTTCTCCGCCCCTTACAAAGACCCATCCCCTGTCTCGGGAGCGGAAAAGAGGGGGGTGTCCAAGAGGGGGGGGCGCAAATCGTGACCGGCGGCATGTGCGCGGCCCAGCGGGGTGACCAGGGACGTCATGAGATAAGAAGAGGCGCCACGAAACCTGGGGAGATCTCATGGCCCCCGCCATGAGATCCCCCCCCCCCTAGTCATCACCCCCCTCTTTCCCGCTCCCGACTGCCGCACCGCAGGACGTGTCGGTACGGCGGGCCGGGCGTGTCACCACGAGACTCCCTCGCCGTGCACGCTTCCGAAGCGTAGCATGCCGATTTTCCCACGCTTTTCCTCCTCGTCACGCCTATCCTCCTATGTCCTTCCTCCTCCTCCTCCCCCTTCGTCATCCTCCGTCTTCCCCGCCCCTTACCAAAGACCCATCCCCTGCCGCACCGCAGGACGTGTCGGTACGGCGGGCCGGGCGTGTCCACCCCGAGACGCCCTCGCGGATGCTACGCTTCCGAAGCGCAGCATCTTCGCAACAGCTCCACGGGCGGAGGGGCGGGGCCGTCTACAAAAGGTGCCCCTCTCGCCTCCGCAGCCGGGCGCACTCGTCCTGAAAAATTACCACCGCCCTCCTCCCTCCTCCCTCCTCCCTCCTCCCTCCTCCTCCCTCCTCCCTCCCCCTCCTCCTCCCTCCTCCCTCCCTCCTCCCTCCTCCCTCCTCCCTCCCTCCTCCCTCCCGCCTCCCGCCTCCCTCCTCCCTCCTCCCTCCTCCCTCCTCCCTCCCTCCTCCCTCCTCCCTCCCTTCGCGGATGGAGAGCTAGCCGTTTTCAAAATGTGGCTCTCGCCGTAGCGCTGCGCACATGCGCCTGAAAAGTTCGCAACAGTTTCGCACATCGAGGGCGGCTCGTTTTCAAAAGGTCGCTCTCGCCCCAGCGCCGCGCATATTCTTTGGAAAAGCGCGCAGCAGTCTCGCGGATGGAAGGCTCTCGCCCCGGCGCCGTGCACATTGGTCTCAAAAAACTACAACAAGTGCTCGGATTGAGGGCGGGTCGTTTTCAAAACGTGACTCTCGCCTCAACGCCACGCACATTCGTTGTAAAAGTTTGCGAGAGCTTCGCGGGTGGAGGGCGGATCCTCTTCAAAATGTGACTTTCACCCTAGCGCCGCGCACATTTGACTGTTGGAGGTCGGGTGGGTTCCAAAGTGTGGCCCTCGCCAAACCGCAGCGCCCACTCGCCTGAAACGTTCGCAACAGTTTCACGGATGGAGGGAGGTTCCTTTTCAAAGTGTGGCTCGCACCACAGCGCCGTACACATTCTTCTTTGAAGTTCGAACAGTTTCACCGATGGACGGCACAACATGCGGCTCTCGCCTTTGCGCCGCGCACGTTCGTCCTCAAAGCTCGCAAGAATTTCACTGATGGAGGGCGGGTCGCTTTCAAAATGTAGCTCTCGCCCTAGCACCGCGCACTCGTCTGAAAATGTTGCACGAGCTTCCCGGATGGAGGGCGGGTCGTTTCAAAATGCGGTTCTCTCCTTAGCGCTGCGCGCGTCCGTCCGAAAAGTTGACAACACGTCGACGGAGTCCTCTGTCTGACGTGCAAAAATGGTGTTCCGACACGGTTTAGGACTGTCAAAGCGATACAGTCAGGTTGATTCGGGGTGTTGAAGTCCCAGGAGGGGTGTACTGGCACGATGTACGACTGTCAGGACGCAACAATCAGGATAATTCGCGGAGTTGAAGTCCAAGGAGTGGCGCTTTGGCACAATTGGGGATCATAAGACGGTTGGATGTCTTACAAAGGGGCATGTCCAACACTGGGGAAAATCTCGTAGGGATCGATGCGGAGGGAATGTGGAAGGATGGTTTATTGGGTTTACATTGGTCCTTCTCCTCCTCCTCCTCAGTCCTTCTCTTCTGCGTCCTCCTCGCGTCTAGCTCCCCATGTCCCTCGTCATCCTCCTGCTCCTCCACCTGATCATCATTGCTCCTCTTCCTGCTCCTCCTCCTCCTCGTCCTCCTATTCTTCCACCCACTCCATCACCACACCTTGTGAGTGGGGCGAAGGGGCGGAAGGAAGGAGAAACAAAAACGATAGACGAGGAAGATGACGATGAAGGCGGAAAGGGGGGGAGCACGAGAAGGCGGAATGGGATGGCCACATAAGCAAGAGAGGGAGAGATGGGTAGAGACGGCAAGGGTCACTCGCCCGACACCAGGCGGCCGAAGAATGGCTGGTCGACCCGACGGAGACGACGACGACGACGAATGCAGAGGCAGCGACGGCGGCGGCGGCGACCAACATGACGACGCGGACGATGGAGACGAAGACAAAACAACTGCGGCTAGCGGCAGCTAGCGGCGGGAATCTGGGTCCGGCGCCAGGCTGGCTGCGGCCTCAAACTCCGCGGCCTCGGCGGCGGCCGAGGTCACATGCGGTCCCTTCTTCCCTCCTCGTCTTCTTCCTCCTCCTCCTCATCCTCCGCCGCCTCGTCCTCAGCCTCCCCCTCTTCCTCCTCTTCCTCCTCGACCTCCTCCTCCTCCTCCTCTTCCTCCTCCTCTTCCTCCTCCTCTCCCCCCCTCATCATCATCAAGATCATCATCCTCCCCCTTGCGAGTCCCTCGTCACCTCTGTTCATCATCCCCCTCCTCCTCCATTTCCTCCTCTTCCACTTTCCCCCCTCCTCCCCCAGTTGTTTGCGTTGAACGGACCTTAGATGCTGTGCTTGTAGCGTCCGATCACTTGCCCAATTCCTCCTCCTTCTCCTTCTCCTTCTCCTCCTCCTCACAATCATCATCATCATCATCATCATCATCATCATCATCATCATCATCATCATCATCATCATCATCATCATCATAATCATCATCATCATCCTCATCATCATCATGATCAGCATCATCATCATCAGCATCATCAGCATCATCATCATCATCAGCCCCCGAGCGATGGGCTGCGGAGGCGGCAGCTGCGGGCGGGCCGCTCGGCAAGCGGCAGCTAAGGGCCAGGCAGACAGAAAGACACGCCCGCACTCCAGCCCCCAAGGGCGGTCCTCTCAGAGGGCAGGCGCATCGGACACGCAGTCCCTGACACGGGCAAGACTGCGGATATCTAAGCATTGGGGCATGTGAGAGACACAAGAAACTACGAATGCAAAGCGCAAGGCTTGGTAGATTCATTGCGTCGCAAATCGCTCTTCCTATGCGTTCCACACATCATGTTGCACCGTTCACGGTTGCCACGAAATGCCAGCACCGTGCTTGTTGATGATCTTCAGGACGTGGTCGTACAAACGCATGTTTCATATACCAGTGGAACGACGTGCTGTGAGAGAAGTCGATGGCGGATTCCAAGACATCGCTTGCGAAGCCCAATGGTCGGCGCCAGTGTTTGCCACCGGGTAAACCCATCGCCATGCCCTTCTCCGTTGCTGATGTACCCGCAAGTCAGTTTGTGCATCCTGCAGGTGTTCCTCTGTCATGCGCTTTCCTCTCCGGACTAACTCTACCCAAGGCTCCATCTGTGTTCCTTTCCTGGATCACCCGAAGAAGCGGATTCTGGTTCTGACTTGGGTTTGCTGTCCACGTCAGCACACTCGACATCAACACTGCGCGCCTCCTCTCGTGCTACAACTTTGCGCCTTGCTCCCGACATCTGCCTGAGCATTTTCCGTTGCACAAATGTAATGTTATGCTCTCCGTGGCTCGTCACAAGCCACACTTCGCTTCCATGCAACAGCGTGGGCGCCACCGGGCTGTTGAGCAGCCGAATGAGCTCCTTCAATGAATAATACCCGCTGGTCAACTCAGCAAATGGTCGCTCGGCCGCAGCAAACCACGGTCGTCCAGTACCACCAGGCTCGTGCGAGTGCCAGCCGCTGCCAGGCGACTGGCGCGGGCCAGCACCTGGCTGCGGAGGTCCCTGCCGCCGAGGCGCAGCGGTCGTCTGCGCTGCGCGCGCAGAATTCCGTGAGCGGGTCCGGGCGACTCGGGCGCGGGCATGCCGTGATGATGGCCTCGTCGTGCGTAGCCGCGGCCGCCGCAGTGCTGGTTTGGGATGCACAAAGACATACTAGTACTATATGTCCTCCTTGGAGGCGCGCGTCCGACCCGAACATATAGTATACCCATCTTGTAGTATATCGTTTCCCGAGCGGTGTGGCCAGAAAGCGCCCGCCACGACGCATATACTATAAGATTTCTCGGTGCGCGCGTCGCCCCTGGGGGGGCGACGCACATATAGTATAAGTATGTTGGGGTGTTGCCGATGGTTGGCGGCGTTCTCCGAAGGAGGTGCGTCAGTTTTCCAGTGCCGCCGTGTCACAGCAGCAACAGCGCGGATACCCGTGTCGCGGAAGAGTGCGGCGAGGCATCCGCGGGCACGCGGGCCCCAGCGCCGCGCGCATTCGACACACAAGCACCCAACAATTACAACGATGCAGGGCAGGTCGCTTTCAAAATGTGGTTTTCGCCCGAGCGCCGCGCACTGTCGTCTTCAAAGTCCCCAGCGTCTGCATGAATGGGGGGGGCTCTTTGCAAAACGAAGCTATCGTTTCGACCTCTTGTACACATTGTGCTTCACACTGTGTAAAATTTGTGCAGCGGCTTAACGGATGGAGAGCGAATTCTTTCCAATGTGGACTCCGCGAAAATTTCCTCAAAGGCTGTACCCAGACGGGTGGCGCAACAACTACACAGATGGAGGGAGATTCCTATTCAAATCGGGACTCTCGCTGGAGACACCCGTGAAACATATGAGTGTGCTTCTTCGCTGTCCATACAGATCGAGAAGCTGCACTCCTTTCCGAAACGGGGCCCTCGCCCGAACAGCATGCCCATGGGGCGCTCGTCTTTCCAAGGGACACCTCCCGACAGTGAAGAGAAACGACGGCAAGGGACTCATGCGGAAGAGACTTGGGACGTTGGGGCGAGGGCGCATGTGGCAGCATCGCTGATGCATCCTGGCTTCACTCTGAGCCCGCCCTCGCCCCCCTCCGACGCCGACGATGGCAGAAAGGTTGGGGGCAAGAGCTCCCGCGGCACCCACAACAACGACGGCGACGGCGTCGGCGACGACGACAACGGCGACGACGACGACGACGACGACGACAACCACCACGACCGCGACGACGACCGCGACGACGACGACGACGACGACGACGACGACGACGACGACGACGACAACGGCGACGGCGACGACAACCACGACGACGTCGGCGACGACGGCGGCTGAGCCGCCCGCCCACGAGGGCGCCCTGGCGGGCCCGGAAGGCGCAGCCTCCGGAGCGGCAGCGGGCACCGCCAGCGTCGGCAGCGCGTGGCAGCGCTCGGGGGGGGGGGAGGAGGAGGAGGAGGAGGAGGAGGAGGAGGAGG